GATCCTTGGGGTACACCACTAATAACACTGATCCTTGGGGTACACCACTATTAACACTGATCCTTGGGGTACATCACTAATAACACTGATCCTTGGGGTACACCGCTAATAACACTGATCCTTGGAGTACACCACTAATAACACTGATCCTTGGGATGCACTACTAATAACACTGATCCTTGGGGTACATCACTAATAACATTGATCCTTGGGGTACACCACTAATAACACTGATCCTTGGGGTACACCACTAATAACACTGATCCTTGGGGTACTACTCATAAACACTGCTAATAAACATTGATCCTTGGGGTACACCACTAATAACACTGATCCTTGGGGTACACCACTAAACTAAGACTGATCCTTGGGGTACACCGCTAATAACACTGATCCTTGGGGTACACTACTAATAACAAACTGATCCTTGGGGTACACCACTAATAATATTTATCCTTGGGGTACACCACTAATAACACTGATCCTTGGGGTACACCACTAATAACACTGATCCTTGGGGTACACCGCTAATAACACTGATCCTTGGGGTACACCACTAATAACAATGAATCCTGGAGTACACCACTAATAACACTGATCCTTGGGGTACACCACTAATAACACTGAACCTTGGGGTACACCACTAATAACACTGATCCTTGGGGTACACCCCTAATAACACTGATCCTTGGGGTACACCGCTAATAACACTGATCCTTGGGATACACCGCAAATAACACTGATCCTTGGGGTACACCGCTAATAACATTGATCCTTGGGGTACACCGCTAATAACACTGATCCTTGGGGTACACCACTAATAACACTGATCCTTGGGGTACACCGCTAATAACACTGATCCTTGGGGTACACCGCTAATAACACTGATCCTTGGGGTACACCACTAACAACAATGAATCTTGGAGTACACCACTACTGAATAATTAATAAGTGGAACTGCACAAAGTATCAGATGGGACTCACTGCAATTGACTGAAAATATTGATCAAAAATCCCAGCTATCATATAAATGATAATCAATCTGAATTACAGTCAGTTCTCTGACACAGATATTTGATCAATTGATCAGAAACAGTGGACAAATTCCACCACGACTGATTGACTTTGCAGAGCTGAAAATCTATTGAGAGCTCAAAAACAACTGAATGGAGAGCTTTTGATTTGTGACTTTTTATGTAATTTGATTATTTTGGTGACAATGAATGATGGATTGTATGTAGAGATGAGCGAATCGAAGTATCCGAAGTGGAATTCGAGTCGAATATCGGAAAAAATTTCGATTCGTGCCGAATCCGAAAAATAGCCTAATTCGGACGCGCGAATCAAAATTTTTCAGAAATGGCGGCTGACTTGTGTGGCAACGGAGCGGGGGATGCCTGGGAAGGCGCGCAGACAAGGCGCGCTGACCTCATAATGCATTCCTCAACGACATGTGATCGCATCAGCCAATCAGCAGCCAGCCAGCCAGCACTGTGTAATGGTCGAGCTATAAATAGCGGCCATTTTGGAATTCTTCATTTGCCTGTAGTCATTGAACAGAGGCAGACCGCTCTGTACTAGGGACAGGGACAGAGTTAGGGCCACAGAAACGATACTTGGGGACAGAGAAAAGTTACTTAGGGACAGAGAACCATTACTCAGGGACACAGACTTGTTAATGAGGGCCACAGAATCGTTATTTAGGGACAAAGAAACGCTAGTTAGGGCCACAGAATTCATACTCAGGGACAGACAGAATTGTTACTCAGTGCCAGAGAATTGTTACTTAGGGCCACAGAAACGGTATTAGGGCCACAGAATTTTTACTCAGGGACAGACAGAATTGTTACTGAGTGCCAGAGAATTGTTACTCAGGGACAGACAGAAATTGTTACTGAGTGCCAGAGAATTGTTACTTAGGGCCACAGAAACTTTACTTAGGGCCACAGAATTGTTACTCAGGGACAGACAGAATTGTTACTGAGTGCCAGAGAATTGTTACTCAGGGACAGACAGAATTGTTACTGAGTGCCAGAGAATTGTTACTTAGGGCCACAGAAACTTTACTTAGGGCCACAGAATTTTTACTCAGGGACAGACAGAATTGTTACTGAGTGCCAGAGAATTGTTACTCAGGGACAGACAGAATTGTTACTGAGTGCCAGAGAATTGTTACTTAGGGCCACAGAAACTTTACTTAGGGCCACAGAATTGTTACTCGCACAGACACAGAATTGTTACTCGCGCACAGACACAGAATTGTTACTGAGGGCCACAGAACTGTTACTTAGGGCCACAGAATTGTTACTCGCACAGACACAGAATTGTTACTCAGGGCCACAGAACTGTTACTGAGGGCCACAGAAACTGTTACTTAGGGCCACAGAATTGTTACTCGCACAGACACAGAATTGTTACTCGCACAGACACAGAATTGTTACTCAGGGCCACAGAACTGTTACTTAGGGACAAAGAAACGCTAGTTAGGGCCACAGAATTCATACTCAGGGACAGACAGAATTGTTACTCAGGGACAGACAGAATTGTTACTGAGTGCCAGAGAATTGTTACTCAGGGACAGACAGAATTGTTACTGAGTGCCAGAGAATTGTTACTTGGGGCCACAGAAACTTTACTTAGGGCCACAGAATTGTTACTCGCACAGACACAGAATTGTTACTCGCACAGACACAGAATTGTTACTGAGGGCCACAGAACTGTTACTTAGGGCCACAGAATTGTTACTCGCACAGACACAGAATTGTTACTCAGGGCCACAGAACTGTTACTGAGGGCCACAGAACTGTTACTTAGGGCCACAGAATTGTTACTCGCACAGACACAGAATTGTTACTCGCACAGACACAGAATTGTTACTCAGGGCCACAGAACTGTTACTTAGGGACAAAGAAACGCTAGTTAGGGCCACAGAATTCATACTCAGGGACAGACATAATTGTTACTCAGGGACAGACAGAATTGTTACTGAGTGCCAGAGAATTGTTACTCAGGGACAGACAGAATTGTTACTGAGTGCCAGAGAATTGTTACTCAGGGACAGACAGAATTGTTACTGAGTGCCAGAGAATTGTTACTTAGGGCCACAGAAACTTTACTTAGGGCCACAGAATTGTTACTCGCACAGACACAGAATTGTTTTTACTGAGGGCCACAGAACTGTTACTTAGGGCCACAGAATTGTTACTCGCACAGACACAGAATTGTTACTCAGGCCACAGAACTGTTACTGAGGGCCACATAACTGTTACTTAGGGCCACAGAATTGTTACTCGCACAGACACAGAATTGTTACTCGCACAGACACAGAACTGTTTACTGAGGGCCACAGAACTGTTACTTAGGGCCACAGAATTGTTACTCGCACAGACACAGAATTGTTACTCGCACAGACACAGAATTGTTTACTCGCACAGACACAGAATTGTTACTGAGGGCCACAGAACTGTTACTTGGGGCCACAGAAACGTTAATCAGGGACACAGAATTGTTACTGAGGGCCACAGAACTGTTACTTAGGGCCACAGAATTGTTACTCGCACAGACACAGAATTGTTACTCAGGGACACATAATCGTTTAATTAAAGAGTATGTCAGACAACATGCAGAGGAGTGGCAGAGGAGGCAATGTTTTAGGAGCGAGCAGACGTGGCAGCAGAGGAAGGGGTCGAGGCAGCACTATTCGCAGCCAGAGGCTAGTGCTCCCGGTGTCATCCAGTACAGTGAGGAAGAGCTAACAGAGGCGGTCAGGAACGGGGGGGAGACATCCGCCTCTTCAGCAGCCAGGCGAAGAAGTAGTGGTGAGGAGAGTGGCTCGGTAGCCGGTCTAGAGACAGGTCTGTCTCCTGACCACACGCAGCGGAGGGGGCTAGTAGTGAGGCGGAGACCCTAATTGATGATGATGAGGCTGATCGCACTTGGCAGCCTCGTCGTCATCAGGCTATTGCTTCCGCATCATCAGGAGAAGAGGGTGGCAGCTTGGCAGCGAGCAAAACAGTCGGTGGGTTGTCTCCATCGCCACACTCTGCCATGTGCCACTTTCAGGTCTCCTGACACTGCTGGTGTGTTGAATTTTTTGACATAGGGTGCTGGCAGATTTACGGGCCTCCCATAGCTGCTGCCAGGCCCTAATCTGCCATGGGCCCCTATACCGCCTCCTCATGCTGCTGCCAAGTCCAGAGTGTGTCATGGGTCCCTGCAGCACAGGCCTCTCTCATTGCTGCTGTCTCCATCGCCACACTCTGCCATGTGCCACTTTCAGGTCTCCACACAACACTGCTGGTGTTGTTCAATTTTTTGACATAGGGTATATACTGATGCTGGCAGATTACAGGCCTCCCATTGCTGCTGCCAGGCACGTAATCTGCCATGGGGCCCCTATATACCGCCTCCTCATGCTGCTGCCAAGGTCCAGAGTCTCTCAGGGGTCCCTGTACGGCCACCATTGCTGCTGGTCTCCTTGCCACGCACCTTCATGCCATGTGCTGCACTTTCAGGTCCACTTTCCTCCTCACACTGCTGGTGTGTTGAATTTTTTGACATAGGGTGCTGGCAGATTACGGGCCTCCCATAGCTGCTGCCAGGCCCCTAATCTGCCATGGGCCCCTATATACCGCCTCCTCATGCTGCTGCCAGGTCCAGAGTCTCTCATGGGTCCCTGTACGGCCTCCCATTGCTGCTGTCTCCATCGCCACACTCTGCCATGTGCCACTTTCAGGTCTCCTCACACACTGCTGGTGTGTTGTGTTGAATTTTTGACATAGGGTGCTGGCAGATTACGGGCCTCCCATAGCTGCTGCCAGGCCCCTAATCTGCCATGGGCCCCTATATATACTCCTCCTGGCTGCATGCTGCTGCAGGTCCAGATGTCTTCTCATGGGTCCCTGTACGGCCTCCCATTGCTGCTGTCTCCATCGCCACACTCTGCCATGTGCCACTTTCAGGTCTCCTCACACACTGCTGGTGTGTTGAATTTTTTGACATAGGGTGTACGGCCTCCCATTGCTGCTGTCTCCATCGCCACACTCTGCCATGTGCCACTTTCAGGTCTCCTCACACACTGCTGGTGTGTTGAATTTTTTGACATAGGGTGCTGGCAGATTACGGGCCTCCCATAGCTGCTGCCAGGCCCCTAATCTGCCATGGGCCCCTATATACCGCCTCCTCATGCTGCTGCCAGGTCCAGAGTCTCTCATGGGTCCCTGTACGGCCTCCCATTGCTGCTGTCTCCATCGCCACACTCTGCCATGTGCCACTTTCAGGTCTCCTCACACTGCTGGTGTGTTGAATTTTTTGACATAGGGTGCTGGCAGATTACGGGCCTCCCATAGCTGCTGCCAGGCCCTAATCTGCCATGGGCCCCTATATACCGCCTCCTCATGCTGCTGCCAGGTCCAGAGTCTCTCATGGGTCCCTGTACGGCCTCCCATTGCTGCTGTCTCCATCGCCACACTCTGCCATGTGCCACTTTCAGGTCTCCTCACACACTGCTGGTGTGTTGAATTTTTTGACATAGGGTGCTGGCAGATTACGGGCCTCCCATAGATGCTGCCAGGCCCCTAATCTGCCATGGGCCCCTATATACCGCCTCCTCATGCTGCTGCTGCAGGTCCAGAGTCTCTCATGGGTCCCTGTACGGCCTCCCATTGCTGCTGTCTCCATCGCCACACTCTGCCATGTGCCACTTTCAGGTCTCCTCACACTGCTGGTGTGTTGAATTTTTTGACATAGGGTGCTGGCAGATTACGGGCCTCCCATAGCTGCTGCCAGGCCCCTAATCTGCCATGGGCCCCTATATACCGCCTCCTCATGCTGCTGCCAGGTCCAGAGTCTCTCATGGGTCCCTGTACGGCCTCCCATTGCTGCTGTCTCCATCGCCACACTCTGCCATGTGCCACTTTCAGGTCTCCTCACACTGCTGGTGTGTTGTGAATTTTTTGACATAGGGTGCTGGCAGATTACGGGCCTCCCATAGCTGCTGCCAGGCCCCTAATCTGCCATGGGCCCCTATATACCGCCTCCTCATGCTGCTGCCAGGTCCAGAGTCTCTCATGGGTCCCTGTACGGCCTCCCATTGCTGCTGTCTCCATCGCCACACTCTGCCATGTGCCACTTTCAGGTCTCCTCACACTGCTGGTGTGTGTTGAATTTTTTGACATAGGGTGCTGGCAGATTACGGGCCTCCCATAGCTGCTGCCAGGCCCCTAATCTGCCATGGGCCCCTATATACCGCCTCCTCATGCTGCTGCCAGGTCCAGAGTCTCTCATGGGTCCCTGTACGGCCTCCCATTGCTGCTGTCTCCATCGCCACACTCTGCCATGTGCCACTTTCAGGTCTCCTCACACTGCTGGTGTGTTGAATTTTTTGACATAGGGTGCTGGCAGATTACGGGCCTCCCATAGCTGCTGCCAGGCCCCTAATCTGCCATGGGCCCCCTATATACCGCCTCCTCATGCTGCTGCCAGGTCCAGAGTCTCTCATGGGTCCCTGTACGGCCTCCCATTGCTGCTGTCTCCATCGCCACACTCTGCCATGTGCCACTTTCAGGTCTCCTCACACTGCTGGTGTGTTGAATTTTTTGACATAGGGTGCTGGCAGATTACGGGCCTCCCATAGCTGCTGCCAGGCCCCTAATCTGCCATGGGCCCCTATATACCGCCTCCTCATGCTGCTGCCAGGTCCAGAGTCTCTCATGGGTCCCTGTACGGCCTCCCATTGCTGCTGTCTCCATCGCCACACTCTGCCATGTGCCACTTTCAGGTCTCCTCACACACTGCTGGTGTGTTGAATTTTTTGACATAGGGTGCTGGCAGATTACGGGCCTCCCATAGCTGCTGCCAGGCCCCTAATCTGCCATGGGCCCCTATATACCGCCTCCTCATGCTGCTGCCAGGTCCAGAGTCTCTCATGGGTCCCTGTACGGCCTCCCATTGCTGCGTCTCCATCGCCACACTCTGCCATGTGCCACTTTCAGGTCTCCTCACACTGCTGGTGTGTTGAATTTTTTGACATAGGGTGCTGGCAGATTACGGGCCTCCCATTGCTGCTGCCAGGCACCTAATCTGCCATGGGCCCCCGTACCGACTCCTCATGCTGTGACGTTGCAACAAGGTGTAATTCAACCCTACATATGTTAGACCGCCTTTAACAGCTAAAGGCCATCACAGATTTCCTGATGTTAAAAGCGGATAAAGGTACTCCCTGTGTAACTTAGATGTCAGCCATTGTCAGCTCATGCGTGACACCTGCGCTTGCTCAGGCCCTTTGAGGGAGGCCACGCTATTCGTGAGTCGGCAGGACTATGGGATGAATGAGGTCAAATCGGCCATGGGCCCCCGTACCGCCTGTTCACGCTGATGCTGGTCCCACAGTGTGACCTGGGTCCCTGTACGGCCTCCCATTGCTTCCACTCTGCCATGTGCCATGTGCCACTTTGAATCTCCTCACACTCCTGCGGTTGTCCATTTTGTCATAGGTTGCTGGCAGATTACAGGCCTTCCATTGGTGCCGCCAGGCCCCATATCGGCCATGGGCCCCCCGTACCTCCTGGTCACGCTGCTGCTGGTCCCACAGTGTGACCTGGGTCCCTGTACGGCCTCCCATTGCTTGCTTCTCTGCCATGTGCCACTTTGAAATCTCCTCACACTCCTGCGGTTGTCCATTTTGTCATAGGTTGCTGGCAGATTACGGGCCTTCCATAGGTGCCGCCAGGCCCCATATCGGCCATGGGCCCCCGTACCGCCTGGTCACGCTGCTGCTGGTCCCACAGTGTGACCTGGGTCCCTGTACGGCCTCCCATTGCTTCCACTCTGCCATGTGCCACTTTGAGGTCTCCTTACACTCCTGCGGTTTTCCATTTTGTCATAGGTTGCTGGCAGATTAGCGGCCTTCCATAGGTGCCGCCAGGCCCCATATCGGCCATGGGCCCCCGTACCTCCTGGTCACGCTGCTGCTGGTCCCACAGTGTGACCTGGGTCCCTGTACGGCCTCCCATTGCTTCCACTCTGCCATGTGCCACTTTGAAATCTCCTCACACTCCTGCGGTTGTCCATTTTGTCATAGGTTGCTGGCAGATTACAGGCCTTCCATTGGTGCCGCCAGGCCCCATATCGGCCATGGGCCCCCGTACCGCCTGGTCACGCTGCTGCTGCTGGCCCACAGTGTGACCTGGGTCCCTGTACGGCCTCCCATTGCTGCTGCCAGGAGGCAGCAGGGTCGCAGCTGTGTCAGTGGAGGCAAACGGCCACGGAGTAGAGCAGCAGCTCCACTGCAGCCTACCACCACAGCCAGTAGTGGTGCCGGTGTGCACGGAGGAAGTAGCAGTCAGCCAGTGAGGAGTAGCGGGTGCAAAGTTTCCTACTCGGCGGTGTGGCAAGTTTTCGTCAAGCCGCCCGAGGAAGTAAACGTAGCCTAATGTCGACTATGTGTCCAGAAAGTCAAGCGTGGCCAGGGGGCCCATGTTGGGACTACAGCGTTGCGTCAGCATATGCAGCGTCGCCATTCGGTGGCCTGTGAAAAACGTGATAAAGATACGGCGGTTCTGCCTGCCCCAGGCCAGGGTTCCATTTTGTCATAGGGTGCTGGCAGATTAGCGGCCTTCCATAGGTTACGCCAGGCCCCATATCGGCCATGGGCCCCCGTACCTCCTGGTCACGCTGCTGCTGGTCCCACAGTGTGACCTGGGTCCCTGTACGGCCTCCCATTGCTTCCACTCTGCCATGTGCCACTTTGAGGTCTCCTCACACTCCTGCGGTTTTCCATTTTGTCATAGGTTGCTGGCAGATTAGCGGCCTTCCATAGGTGCCGCCAGGCCCCATATCGGCCATGGGCCCCCGTACCGCCTGGTCACGCTGCTGCTGAGCCCACAGTGTGACCTGGGTCCCTGTACGGCCTCCCATTGCTTCCACTCTGCCATGTGCCACTTTGAGGTCTCCCTCACACTCCTGCGGTTTTCCATTTTGTCATAGGTTGCTGGCAGATTAGCGGCCTTCCATAGGTGCCGCCAGGCCCCATATCGGCCATGGGCCCCCGTACCTCCTGGTCACGCTGCTGCTGGTCCCACAGTGTGACCTGGGTCCCTGTACGGCCTCCCATTGCTTCCACTCTGCCATGTGCCACTTTGAGGTCTCCTTACACTCCTGCGGTTTTCCATTTTGTCATAGGTTGCTGGCAGATTAGCGGCCTTCCATAGGTGCCGCCAGGCCCCATATCGACCATGGGCCCCCGTACCTCCTGTCACGGGTCTGCTGCTGGTCCCACAGTGGTCCCTTTCAGGTCTCCTCACACTCCTGCTGGGTTCCATTTTGTCATAGGTTGCTGTATGGCCTCCCATTGCTGCTGCCTCCACCGCCACACTGTGGCTCCAAACACTGGTTTTGGCCCCGTGACTGGCCAAATGAGTGAAGTGTGCGGTGATTCTTAGATCGACGGCACTCATCATGTCATACTGAGTGACAGTATTATTTCTCTTCCCCAGCAGACTCCAAGGGCATTTAAATTAAAGGTACAGTGTTCTGCACTAATATTAAGTCTCTCTGAAGCCTAGAAACACCCTTTTTTAAGTTAAATTCACAGCGAATTTATTCGACTCGAATCGAATATTGTCCACGAATTCGCCGAATCAGTCGAATCGAATTTTTCATTTCTTCGCTCATCTCTAATTGTATGATCATATGAATAAGTGTGTGACCACCAATACAGTCATCTAATGTACTCATTTCTTTTCCCTTTAAATGTAATCAGTTACTTTGAATCTGACAAATGTCTATATGCACAAGTCTGTGATATATTTGATCTGAGATCAGGGAAACGTGCAGAATAAGAAGGATCCAATCTACTACTATTAGTAGACGTCTGGTGGGTATTGCACCAGTGAGAGGGACTTTACATTCTTCTCGGTGCCACACATATCATATAGTAGGATAAATCATTTTTTATTTCACATTTATCGTGTTGGCAATCTGCTTCCCAAATTGGTATTCAGTTTAGATGAGATCACTATCCGGTCTTCCTACTTGTTCTTCATGGAAATTGAATGAATCATTACTAAAAGAAGAGCGTGTGTTACAGGCCCTAAGGGGGACCATAGAGGAGTACAAAATAACCATCTGACAGACCCCACTAAACTGTCAATTAAATGGGAAACATTCAAATGTGTCTTAAGGGGTTCAATTCAATTAGGATCAAAATTGAAGGAAAGATCCAATCAAATATCTACACTATTGAAGGATATTTGTGCTCTAGAGCATTGCCATAAAGCAAATATATACAGCAAATAGTGCAGAGCTAAAATAAAGT